AAAAAAAACGACACAATCTTTTTTTTAAAACTGAGTTTTTGGCATCCAAGTTGGTTGAGTATGCACAGTACGTGCAATTGTTTGTGATGTTAGGACATTCGAGAAGGTTGTGGCAAAAAAAAAGCTTTCAAAGAAACACAAAAAATGCAGTGTACAGACCTGATTTTGTTTTTTTTGTTGTGCATGAGCTGCTCAAATGTCATTTTAGCACAAAATTTTGCACACTCATAGAAAACTCGAGCATCTTGGGTGTTGAAAAAAAGTTAGAATTCTTGAGCTGCTATTTTTCTGAATTTACTGTTCATTAGATCATCTAAGCCCAGACATCATTATGGATTACTGAATCTAATGTACTCCCTACTAACTTTGCAGTAGACCAATGACAACTAATACAGATTGGAGGGAGTACAAATTTTGACCAATGGACGGTGGTTCCCCGCCTCTTTGTGCTAGAAAGGCTGCCATAGCAGCAAGCAAATAGCATGACAACACCAATAGTCATTCCCGGCATAGACTTCGAAAAAGAAGGGATATTCAATTTGGTGTCTGGGCTCATCTGCACCTGATGAACAGTAAATTTCAAAAAATGCTAAATAATTTTAAAAATTCTGATTTTTTTAGATAAAAGATATTACAGTGCGTGATGTTCGTGCCAAATTTCAGCTTGTTTGGACATCTGAGAAACCCATGATAAAAGGACAAGATTAGTAAAAATTGTACGTGAACAATAAACTCTCTTACAACCCTGAAATTTATTTTTTTTGCTAAGAGCTACTGAAATGTCCAAACTCCACGAATATTTGGCACGAATTTCCCACACATGAGCATCTAGCATCACAAAAAAATCTAATTTTTATTTTACTATTTTAAACAAATTTACTATTCACCACATCTACTGCAGACGCACCTGGAAGCCAAAACACCGTGTCAGAAAAAGAAGGCAAATATACTCTCCGATCGACACGCGCAGCCGTTCGGATGTGACCACGGCGTGTGTTCTCAACGTGTCTGCTTCACAAATCCGCGTCGCTTTCGCCAAGTTGGACGCCGGCGCCGCGTCTCCAGGGTCCATACGTGCATGATGCATCAGTCAGTGGTCAGGTATGAGACGCTTGGCTGGCGCACAGCGCGACCGAGCGTGCGCGCACGTTGAACTCGTGGTGGAAATGAGCTGAGCAGCAGAGCAGGTCCGTCCTTATCCTGGAACCCTTTGCGGTCCCGGCCACATTTCCTTGGACCAGCGCTGCGGCACCCTCTTGTCAAGTATGGATGGATGCAGCGTTCCCATCAGACACTTGTGGCGAAAAGCTCATGTTTTCTATATTCTACATAAAATAAACTCATGTTTGCAAAAAGAGAAGAAGTTTGACATATGCCGGTGGAATGTCCGGTTTGCCCATCTAATTACTTACAGTACTTTTTAAGGTTTTTGCAGGGAATACGATTCCCAGGTTTCATTGCTCAATTCCAAACAGGTGTATAGTATACGAGTGAGTTTCTCTTTTTAAAAAGGAGGAGGACTCCCAACCTCTGTATCTGGGCGATGCATGCGGCTATTTTATTAATTATTCACAAAACATCTTACAAAGAAATACAATTGTAAGTCTGAAGCCACCTTTAGGCAACATTTGTCGCTACTCCTATCTAGTTGATGAAGTGATGCTGATAGTCCGGGTCTAATACCACAGACCTCACAAGCAAAACTAACATCTAAGATCTGAGGCCCCCACCAAGTCACTTGCCGGGTATAGGGCACACACTGGTCCGGCCGCTCTCAGAGGCCGCCGCCGCCAGCTGCCATCACTCCATCTTCAGAGCTGCACTGACGCATCAACCTTGCCCGGTCTAGCTGCCGTGGACGCCACCACGGCGCCCAACGACACCACCTCCTTGCGCACGAACTGCTGAGCACGTCGTGGTCGCCGCCTCTACACCTCAGCACCATGCCGCCAAGTACTAACAGCCGACACAGCTTGAAGTCTCTGAAAAATCTGTCACGCGTAGCACCTATCGAACATGCATGACAAAGTGTAGCACCTGTCGGCCAGGCATGACTTGACATTTTCACCGAAGTTTCGTGCAAGACGAAGTCGCTCTACCTCCTGCCTCTGACTTCCAGCGTTGCTCCACAAACAATGCTCCCAAGAGAGAAACGACACCATAGTCCCACCATCGTCCTATCTGGAAGACCAGATCTTAGGGTTTCCCCCAGAGCAGTACGAGTGGGTCGATAGTAGTCACATGACGATGCCTTCATCAAGGTAACGACGCAGTACACCGCTATCGCCCGCCGTCGGCTCGGTTTTCACCGGCAACTATGTCTCCCCGACTCGCAGCCGGTACTAGATGACGGATCCCGAGATCCGAACACCCAGCCTCAGGCTGACCACCTCTAACGAAAAAGATGACCATCACCGCCGGCTGTACCGGTCAGAACAGATCTGACCGGAGATGCCGCCGACGAGACCACTAGGCCATCCACGCCGCCGCTGTTGATCTGAAGTAGATTGCACGCCGCTTCAGCCTAGCCGGCCGCCGCCGCCGCCCGAAAAGGCCGGCCTCTGCGCCCGCAGCCCACGCCGCCGTCCGTGATTGGGCCGCCCGCCGCGCCTAGCCGCTGCCGTCCGAGAACAGGCCGGCTACCCGTCGCCTGCCACAGCCATTCGCCACGCCGCAGAAACCGGATCGACCACGCCACCACACGCTAGGGGCCCCGCACCACCTTGAAGACGCGTGAGAGAGGAAATCCCCCGCCACCGCCGTCGGCCCCGGGCTTAGCCTGGCGGCGTCCCCTGGCGACGGCGGAGGGACGGGAGGAGGGGGTGCGCACCGGCGGCGGCTAGGTTTTTGGGCTCTGCCCAAGTCGCCACGGGAGGGGGGAGTTCGCACCGGAGGAGGGGGCACACGAAGCAGTTTTGACGTTGAGATTTTGTATACGTTGTCACGTTGTGCTTTTCTGTTTGTAGTTGGTCTCTTTTAATCCGTGATGAAGATTGAAGAGCATTTGATCTTATCCTGGCTGTGTGGATCACTGTCAGTTTACCACTGTGAAGCCAGGTAACCACGTGGGCCTTACGACCTTTGTGAACTGTCACCTGTTTTGGGGCAGTATTCAGGGGAAACACGTGCACGTAGGCCCCTTCAATTTTCCTTACACCAGAAAGTTACACGTCAGGCCAAAAGAGAGAAAGGGCAAAGATCAGAACGGCACTGAAGAAGAAGAAGCGTATGCATGGGCCACGAGCACCATCTGTTTCTCCTGATCCAGTGACATGCATGCAGGGGCCGGCCGGCCATATGCGGCTAGCAGGTGGAACAGCCAAGCAGCCACTTTTCATGCATCCGGAACTTAGGGCATGTTCAATACATAGGCTTAAGGTGATGCTTCACATACCATGTAAGATCGGATAACAGAAAAATAGGTTTGAATGGGGAAACATGATCCTTTTCAGGAGGTGGGTGCTTAGAGAGAAAAAGTGTGGTCCGGTGCATAAAGTTGGAAAAGTTGAAATGGAAAGGAGGGATGCATGTGTAGTGAGAGTCACTTTCTGTTTTTTGATGAGGTCCACTAGTAGTAGCTTACATTGAAGAGAAAAAATTAATACATATGCCTCAAATTACTTTTTATCATGAGGCACCTGTATCTACATGCCACCATTGTACATGCCCTGATTGAGTTCCGTGGTACACGCAATGGCAATCCTTTACAGAATCTCGTGGCATTGCCTGCTTTATTTCTTGCGGCTCCGTGTGTTGCTTGGCATTTTCACCTTCGACAGCTCATCTAATCGTCGACGTGGAGCCGTTGGCGATCTTGAATCTTTTCTGGTTGGTGGTGATTTCCCACCATAATTTTTGAGATCAGCATCGTGACGTAGGGGTTGGCATATGCTTAAGCTTTGATCGTGAGGCTCTGTTTCGGATCGCCATGTTGCGTTTTCTGGTGCGTCTTCTATATAGTAGTATATATTAGCTCACGTTTCTTCGAGGGCTTGTACGTTTCCACGAGCGGGAGACGACTTTATGTTGAGAAGATCGATCGAGTAGTCAAAAAGTTTGCTCATGTGATCATGTCTCATCGTGTTTTGTCCATCACACATGTTCGTTACCCTGGACAGAGCACGCCTTTGCTCCAAGACGATCGGACACTGCACGCCTAAACGCACCGACACGCCGATGCACGTCGGTTGGAACTCTGGGCACTGGAATATCACGAGTCATCACAAGCACATCTGTATAGAAAAGGAATTACATCCAAATTTTTATGGGTGTTGAAATATCCTTTCTCCTGCATCCATCGATGACACGCCATGAGAAAAGCTCGATGCCTTCTTGATCGAGCAAACAAGCCCGGGATCTTGTAGAAACAGCGGGCAGCGGCTAAGAAATCGTTAATATAGATCAGAAGACATCGGCAACCGTGATTCTCCAGGAAGAAGATGCAAAAGAACATGTACTCTATTATTCTCTAGTACGGTTTACTGTGGTAATAGAAGTATCAAAAGGGTGTAATAGCCACAGATGGCGACCCCGTCTAAATGTAAATGGGAGTCCAGCGATTAGAAGCATGCATGTTGTGGGATCTGATACTAATGCCCAACACATGGTAGGTCAGTTTCCTTTCTTAATTGCCTCTTTCACGGCAAATGCTCCCGTTGTAACGCACAAACCCATTTGCTATGAATATGAATCACAAAATTGCAAAATAGAAATAATAATAATAATAATAATAATATCAAACTTCAGAACCAACAATAAACTGTGCTTCATCAGTCTTCTTTCAACAAGATGGATGGGCACAACATTCATGTGTTTAGTTGATGAATACATAACAAGTACAATAGACATTGCGTGCGTACGTGCAAAGGATACTATATATCCCAACTGAAATGGTTTGAGATGGGAGGATGATGGAGGGTCTAAAGTCTAAACCGGTATCATGATTATTGTGCGGAAAGCTTTGCTGCAATCGACCACCAAATGCACCTTCATTTGATCCTTCATGATGGCGACTGCTCCTCCGCGGCACTCACTCGTATGACACGCCCCTCCAAGCTCTGCATAATTCAGATAACAATCCGAGACTCGCTTGTCATGACATTGGTTATTACTATTCGTTATGTAAATGACAAAGAGATCGACTACCCACGAACCTGTCGGCAAATTTCACATATTTGACCTGAGGCCTAAATCAATTCACAAACTGACCTGCTTTCAAAAAAAATTCACTCCGCTGACCCTTTAGTGTGGCGCCCGACAGCTGGGCGTCGCACACTACTATGCAGCGCCTCTGACTTAGGCGTTGCACCTCCTGCCAGCGTGGCAGCCCTGGTCCAGTTGCGGCCCCACAGACAGCAGTGCAGCGCCTAAGGCTTAGGCGCCGCACTGTGTATATTGCAGCGCCCGTGTCTTAGGCGCTGCACGTTGACTTAGGCCGCATCGGGCCAGCCCCTCCCAGGCAGTTCTTCCACCTCTGATAAGTTGCTCTCTTCTGTACAGAGACCGGCGGCGGCGCCCCCTTCGGATCCCCCCACACCCCCTCTCAGATCTGAAGTTTTGAGGCCTGGATTCGATCTCCAATTCTTCCTAGTACGTAAACTCTTTCGTTCCCTTTCTTTTCCTCCGTAAAATCGTTGCAATTTTAGGGATTTGTCCAAGATTAGGTGGAAACTTAGTTTTGCTTGGTTTGGATCTTTGTTTGTCCAAGATTGTGTGTTGTGATGGAGGATGTGTAGTCATATCCGGTAGTATATGATTCTTGTTAGTGAAACCTAGATTGTTTATTTTTTTAGATATATATGAGATGCCTAGTTTTGTAGATAATTATGAGATGTTGAGTTTTGTAGATATATGTGAGATGTTGAGTTTTTTTAGATATATATTAGATGTTGAGTTTATTTGAAATACGAGATGTTGATTTATTTGAACACATATGTCATACGAGATATATATGAGAATTTACAATTATTTATTCATTGAGTGAGAAGGAGATGTTGAGATTCTTGTAGATGAATACATATGAGATGTTTAGATGAACACATATGAAATGTTGAGTGTTTTCCGATATTTGAGATGAACTCATGTATGTTTATTGTTTGAAATTGTAAGGTTGGTTTGGCTTCTGGACGATGTCTACGACGTGCAACACCGGTCCTACATGATGCGCGAGAAGGATAAGGTAATAATGAGTACTCTAAATCTTTTGCAAATTTGCCTTTAGTTGAAATTTACATGCCCTAAGATTTGTCATTACTTGTTTTTTGCAGAAGCTTGAACCTCTGAAGATTCGGTATCACGGGGTCTCTGGTCCTGCCATGCCTTACGATGAGCGGTACACACCGTACATCAAGCAGGCAGGACTACTCCCGTGGATTCTGTTGGTCAGCCGGTCCACGCCGAATCTGAACGCTCCACTGGTGTCCGCTCTTGTTGATCGGTGGAGGCCAGAGACCCACAGTTTCCATCTTCGGACCAGGGAGATGACCGTGACGCTCGAGGATGTCTCGTTGATCACCGGTCTTGCTATCGACGGGAGGCCTCTATGTATGAGCACCGATTCTGATGGGTGGCGCGAGCAGATGATTGCTCTTATCGGTATGGCTCCTACCGAGGCTGAGGATGATGTAGAGGAGGGAGAAGAGAAGAAGAAGAGGGAAAGGAAGGCAGCTGGAGCTGCTTTCACGTGGATTCAAAATAACTTTGCGACGTGCCCTCCGGATGCAACTGATGATGTGATCCAGACACATGCTCGTGTGTATATGTGGTACATTGTGTCGAGGACTTTGTTTCCTGACTCCACTGGCAAGAACGCTCCATGGATGTGGCTGAAGGCGTTGACCGTCTTCGATAGCAAATGGAGCTGGGGTTCAGCGACTCTTGCCTACTTGTACCGACAGGTAGTTGGTCTGTTTTGTGATCAACTCATTTATTCATTAGCAATGCAAGCTTGCTGTCAAGTTAACATTGTTTTTCTTTCATATGTAGCTGGATGATGCGTGTTGCAGGATCACACCTAGTGCAGGCATTGGTGGTAATCTGCTTCTACTTTCTGTATGGAGCTGGGAGCGTCTGCCTGTTGGACGCCCGAAGAGCGTCAGGTTTGATCCTTGGTATGCAGATGAACATGACGAATTACGGCGCCCCACGTGGGCTTACAAGTGGGATATCGTTTCCGAGATGACAAACGATGTCAATCTCATGTACCAAAAGTACATTGCCGAGTTGGACACGATTACGCCTGAGCAGGTAAGGAGGTCATTACTTTAGTCCTTTCTCATGCTTGCTTGAAAAATAGTTATCAAATTTGCATTGTTGCCCTGTTTCATAGGTGGAATGGCAGCCATATGGCGCGGGTGAGAGCTTGGGGTACACCGCGGACTTCCGCCTCAACCCGATGTGCTTGCGGGATAAGGATCTCTGGCTTATGCGGTGCCCATTGATATGCAACTGGGCGGTTGAGTTTCATTTGCCACATCGCGTGTATCGTCAGTTTGGTCTTTTCCAGCCTCACCCGCCGGATTGGGTGAACACGGATAAAGCACTTCATAGGTAAGAGAGCATGTGTGCGTATTGTCTAATCATCGGGACTCCTTTTGATTGTGCTAATGTTTGGTTTTATACCACGCAGGTTGGACAGGAGAAGGCAACGGAAGATAAAGGACTGGGCCAAGCATCATTCTGCGTATGTTACCCGCTTCCAGCTTTGTGTGGAGCAAGCTCGTAGCACTGCACGCGCCCCGCTTCGTGAGCACAACTCACTTGCTTTTGATAACTACGTACGATGGTTTATTGGAACTACTCGAGTTGAGATATGCCCGCCGGCATATAATGAGGATATTCTTGAAGAACCCGTAAACTTTGAGGATCTAGCAAAGGGGAAGTACAACAGAGATGTCAGGCTAGGGCAAGGAGTGCCTGCTGTTCCGGTGATTAACTATGTGGTAAAGTGTTCCCCTCTTTACTTTCCTGTTGACCGTATTACACATGTTTGAATGGCTAACGCATTCATTTTTTCTCATCCGCAGCGCACCGAGATCAAGAGAGCAGCTGATGAGAGCCAGTCTATTCTGGAGAAGACACGGGTTGGAACTGGCAATGATGATGGTTCACTACGAGCATTCCTCAAGGTACATATCGCATTCACTATGAGAGCCAGTCTATGTTGCGAAGTTTGATATCTTACACACTTGTTCATGTTACAGCGTCAGGCCAAGAAGTTAAGGCGGTTATCGAACCTTCTCGGTTGCTGTGATCCTGAATATGATGAACCATCTGCCTCTAGGTCTGGTACACCATCAGACCCCACACCTCACAATGAGGGGGACGATGTGAGTTCCTCATATGCTTATGTGGATGATGAGGGTGGGATCACCCAAGAGGTATGACTAATCATTTAGATGTGATTCTCACTTGATTACGACATCGGCCTTCATCATATTGTTTCGTTGTGTGATAGGGCGATGAGCTTGATGATGACATGACTTTGGCGGACGCTCAAGCTCGGTCCGCATATGTGTTCAAGCCTAGGCAGCCCAGACGCCGGTACACGCCCAACGACTATGACAACAGAGGCAACCCAAAGGTGGTCGTAGGGACCTCGCGGATGGCTAGATTGGATGATGAGGCGGAGGAGGAGGCGGAGGCGGAGCCGCAGGCGGAGGAGGAAGTGCACGAAGTGGAGCCTCGTGCTCCTAAAAAGAAGAAGATTACCTGCAGGCGTGGCACCAGGAACACGCGTGGAAGGCATTAGTGCTTTGTGTTAGGTTGATGAACTTGTGAGGTTATGTTATATGATGAACTTGTGAACTTGTGAGGTTGATTAACTTATGAGGTTATGTTATGGTATTTGTGTTTGCAAACTTGAAGCAAACTTGAATTGTCTTAAATGATGTGATGTTCAAGTTATTTGTTCTCTTTGCTTAGCATGTCCAGTTTATAGTACTTTTATTGATGTTTTAGTTATTTGAGTGTTGCTGCACCCCACCCAAAATGGCATCTGTTTCTGCAGTTTTGCTTACAGCAACACTGCAGCGCCCAACATTTAGGCGATGCACTGTACTGTGTGGCGCCCAACAGTTAGGCGCTGCACTGTACAGTGCAGCGCCCTACCCTTAGGCGCTGCACTACTGCCATGGCTATCCAGAAAGCCAACAGTTACTCCCATGGCTACTCCCACTACATCCATAATACTTACAATGACTGCAGCATCACAGCAATATGAACAAACACAAATTTTATTCCGACGATGTTCATAACTTAAGATAATTCAAACATTAGTACGACATGGTTCACGACACATTCATTACAAATGACAAATGGCAACTTGCCCTAGAAGATAGTTCACCAACATCTCACATGCCCTCACAACTTCACAACACATTCATTAGAAGATAGTTGACGAGGAGTGCACCGAAGCGAAGTCCCTACTGAGTAGAGCGAGGCCATTTCCCCTTCTTGTCACGTGCCGAGTCCTCCTCTTGCGCCTCGCGAGCCTTTGCAAGCTTTCTTGCCCTCTCCTCCTCACGAGCAAGTTACGCTTGGCGTGCCCTCTCCTCCTCTCGTTTCTTCCGCTCCATCCTCTCCTTCTGACGACGCTCTTCCTCCAAGCCCCTTCGATGATGCAACTTTCTATGTCCGGGAATGTCAATCACCACCGCATTTAGAATTCCAGCATGGCGATCCGATATGACACAAATTTCCCTTTCAGCCGGTAATACCCTTGTTCTCAGTTGACGCAAGAACCACTCCCAGTTATCATTGTTCTCCACCTCAACCAAAGCGAAAGCCAAAGGCAACACCCGGTTATTGGCATCACTTGCTATTGCAACCAATAAAGTGCCCTTGTATTGTCCGGTCAAGAACGTGCCATCAATGGCGATGACGGGCCGACAATGCTCAAAAGCCCTCACGCATTACTCAAAGGCCCAAAATGCACGGCCAAATACTCGGACGGTCCTCCCGTTATGAATCAAAGTTTGGTGCCCATGAGGCTCAACCACGTGAACCATGCCTGGGTTTGTGGCGGCCATAGCTAACAACAACCTAGGGAGTCGGTTGTATGCTTCCTCCCAATTGCCATACAACATCTTGAATGCGGCTTGCTTCGCCTTCCATGCCTTGCCGTACTTCACCTTGTAATGAAAGATGGCTTTCACAAGGTCAATGACACTCTTGATGCTCATTATTGGAAGTGTGGATATTTGGTTGGACAGCCTGTAAGCAATGAACTCGGACGTGAGTTGTCTGTGTTGTTGGTGCACAAGCTTGCCATCCGCATTCTTGTGCCGGCACATGTGAGTTGGTAGACAACTCACTATGCGCCAAGTGGGACCTCCTTTCCATGGCCTTGCACGCACAATCCATGGACATGTTGGCACTTCACATTTGACCGTGTAACGCACATTAACATCCGAGTTGGCCACTTTATGTGGACGATAATGTGTAACCGAGTAGTTGTCGAGCCACATCTTCAATTCCAAGAAGGATTGAAACTCACAACCGGGATATATCCCGTTCTTGCCGTCTTCCAAATCACGGTGAGAACTTGGCCTAGCTCCAAGAGATATGCATTTGCCACCATCCACAACGGCTTCATCCGCGAGACTAAGATCCTTGAACAATGGTGTCTTGTGATCCCGCCCGAATACCTTCTTGAATGCTTCGGCCTCCTTCGGCGTGAACCCCTCCTCATCAACTTCTTCATCGGGACCATCGTCATCCGAGTCCGATGCATATGCACGGGAAAAAGGGATGGATTGGTCCATTGTCTCTTGCACATGATATTGGTCGAGATCACCCACATTGTTGTCATGGAGGTCAACTTCGTTCTCATCCTCCTCGTACTCATCATTTTCCTCTTCAAAACCTTCATTTTGGTTGTTTGGAGTCGGGCTCAATATTGGCCAATCTTGTTGCGTGAATTGAGGTTCACTCATTTGATCTTGGTTCATGGGTGGGGGAGTGCTAGCAACCAACGGGGAGGGGTTCCGGTTCAAGTCTAAATTCAAAGTAGACTCAATCTTCTTGGAGACAAATAACTCAAGAGCCTTGTCTAGAGATTCGGCAACCGTCTCCTTGTATGCAACCCAACGTTGCTCGGAGTTCACACGCATTGTCTTCCAACGGATGTGCATTCCAAAACCAACATTATGCCTTCCCTCGAACTCAACAACGTCACTTGGGTCCGTCCAATTCAAATCTTTCCTCACTTGTTCCAAAAGCTCCGCATAGCTAGGACTACTCTCAAACACCATGTCAAGCTCATTCGGGTCCGTCTCAACATTGCCTTTCAAAAAGGCCTCTCTATCCACATGATGAACATAAACACATGTTCTCCCCATCCCTACAATAATCAAAAACACACATATATCAAGTAAATACTTAAGAAAAATATTTGCACACATATGCCCTAACATATAAAACAACCATAACCATAGCATAACCCTAACACCAACATCAAACACACATAACCCTAACCCTAGCATACTATGGAAGCTTAACCAACCCAAGTTAGCAAA